TAAAGGGGGCTTATAAAAAAGATGGTGGCAGACTTTTTAGCAGGGCCTGTTGCGACAGGACAAGGGGGATTGGCTTTAAACCAAAGGGGGGTAGATTTAGACTAGATCTAAGGAAGAAATTTTTTACACTGAGGGTGGTAAAACACTGGCACAGGTTGCCCAGAGAGGTGGTGGATGCCCCATCCCTGGAAACATTCAAGGTCAGGTTGGACAGGGCTCTGAGCAACCTGATTTAGTTGAAGATGTTCCTGCCCACGGCAGGGGGGTTGGACTAGATGACCTTTAGAGGTCCCTTCCAGCCCGAACTATTCTATGATTCTATAAAATTACCAAAGGTTTAAGCTGCAGAAACTGGGAGCTCACAAGAAGATCAGACACTACGCAAAAGACAAGAAAGGCAAGGTTATACCTTCATACGCTTCCTCATTCAAACATTGCCTGCAGGTAAATATATAGCTTTTAGCATAAGTAGACCAATACGGATTAAAAAGACAAAATAAATCAAGCAAACATGAAACAACTCAGCTAGCTCACAACAAATCTGCAAGTGCAGGCATGGAAGGAAAAAAAAGACACCCTTGTTTGTTGAGCTTGTAAAATTGCAGAAGAATAAACAACACTTGCAATATACAACAAGTTTTATTTTAAAATCCCTTTTCAATGATTCGGGGGGGGGGGGAATGGAATTTTTTTTTTTTTTTTTTTTTTAATAATCTTTTGATAATACTACTATTTCCTGGTCATAAATGCCTGAGAGGAAGAAAAGCAAGTCTGGGAAAAAGCAGACCTTGAATGGCAAGAGTGAGATTTTGTTTGAGCCTCTCAAATCCCTTTCTGTCTTTTAAGACGATCTCGGAGTCTCAGTTCAGTGGGCTCTCACTGAAAATAATTTTCTGAACTGCAAAGATTTGCTCAAGGATTCAAATGAAGAAGTATATTTCAAAAATTCTGTTTCCATTATCCACTTCTCCATGATCATCTGTTTTGTTAGGGTTTTTTGGTTTGGTTTGGGTTTTTTTGTTTTTTTAAGAGGCCAGGAAGCAAATGCTAACGGAGAAGGTTCCGCATTAAACATTTATTTTGCACAACACTTAGGAAATGCAAAGTGTAGACTCCCACAGCAATGTTAACTTTGCCCTCTTGTGGGGAGGTGTGAGAATTCATTCAGAAGCCACACAACATGTACAGCATCATACAGCAGTATGAAAAAAGATGCTTATAGTATAAATTAGCAGGTTCAGCATCACTGCAGGAAAAGCTTTCTGTATTCATTTACAACTTAATTAATTTTCCTTTCAACGGAATTATACCTTAGTGCGAGGTGGACTTCTATCACGAATAGAAATCAAACACGTCCCACTCCTAACCATTTAAAGACCTGTTTTGTAAATGTAGAAAGGATCCTAGAGCAGATGTCAATAATGCCTTTTCTGGCTACAGATTTCACCAAATTATCTGTATTGTGCAAGAACTGGCACTGTTCTGGAGAACAGCAGCACATATAGCACTTATAGCTGTGTTCCTGCCAGCGTCCAGAGCTATTTATAGCGTGTAAAGATTTAGCTAGGACTGAAATACCAGTATTGAAATACACAGGTTCAGGAATCACTGAGGGCTGGTTACCTCTCAAGCACTTAGAGAAAATAAGTTTTATATGATCAAACTATTATCAGGCCAAGCATTTTTTTAATTCATCACTGTTGTATCATCATCTCAGTGAAAATGGAAGAGGAAAAAAAAATAGAGGCAGCCATCTGGAAAACACAGCCGTGTGTTAAGGAAATTTAAGAATGTAGATCATCGGTAAGCAGAGAGAAAAGCTAGTACGTTCCAGCTTGCTACCGGATTCAGAGGCAGGCAGAGAAGAATCCAGCTACATGCGAGGCAGCAGAAGTTCAGCCCACAGGATCAAGGCCACCTGCTCCTGGCTAGTTTTGTCACCTGAAACATGGCCAAAAGTAACAAAACCAAATGGCGTTTGCTAGTAGAAGGCACACACAGGACTCCCAAAAATGCACACTCACCACTGCATTTAAGTGGGGAAAAAAAACATTTTCAAGAAAATACCCCTACCAGGGTGACTTTCCCATGCCATCTTGATTTACTAGTTTGTTCCAGCAACACCTGTGTCCTCTTACGGAAAAAGAAGTCACACAACTGACTTCAGGCCAACACAAGCCACCACCAAAGCCAAGAACAGACTCTGCCCCCAAAACAAATGGCCATATCGAGCTCTTCGCTTCCTCAGACATAGAAACGTGACCAGGTCAGATGACCAACTGTTAAAGCTCCCAACAGGTTTCACAGCACACTTAAACCACAAGAAATTCTGACTTTATTCAAAAATGCTCACTTACCAAAAAATTCTGGATGTCCTGCAGGATTCTGAAGCCAAGACCTGTGAATCTGACTGATATCTGCTATGGGAGCTATGAACAGTTGGCGTTCCTCCTGGCCAAAGCAGTTAAATCACTAGTCGGGTTAGGGAAAATACTTCAAACAGCTGTTTAGCCAACTCTGAAGTACCTCAGGCCAGAAAAAGTGATTCTACATTTTTGGCAAGCCAGCATCAAGCCTCTTCACTCCTGAAATAGCTGACAGAGATGTTAGCCAAAAGTTCACCACTTAAAAGAAAATTCTTGATGCCAAGAGTTTGGAAAGTGCCTTGGAGCTCACAACCACAACAGAGTCTCCTACTTCTTCCTAAAATCATCTAATTCTTCCTAAAAGCACTACAAAATATTGAACTTTCATAGGGAAAGCTAAAGAAACAGAGAGAAGCCAAGAAGCTGACCTGGGGAGGAGGCGCCTCGGTACAGCAGCAGGGCAGGGCAGCCTCAGCAGTGAGCACACCACCTCAATTCAAATCAAGAGACCTCCGGCGGTCAGGAAAGCCTTTTCCCACACTGTCACGTGCAAGCATCCCCGTTTCAAGGATGCAATTTCCCAAGCACTACTATTAGAGCACTGAGTTTTCAAGACCTCGTTAACCACTCATCTCTTTTCAAGCAGTCACGCAGCAAATCACAGAGTCCCAGCACCTCCCTCTTCTCGGTGCACCAAACTGCTACTCCATTTTTCCTATCAGCACACCACGGATGTCATTACAACAATCCACACCAATATATCCTTCTGAATTACAGCAGAGTTTATTTTAATATTTTGTACAGCCAGCATTGGTCTCCAGGAATAAGTTATAATCTTACACAAGTGAGTCCCCCCCAAACCCACCCTTAAGGAATGTTCAACTTTCAGTATTTCTAATTCAGAGGGAAATTATTTATAGGGTAAGACACAGTCTGAAGAATGGAAATCAATCTTAATTTGTGAATAAAACTCCTCAGAAGTTCTCAGGGTTTACTTGCATCTAATTGGATTCATGAACAAGTGCAGAGGTCACATCTTTCAGGACTGCACTGAGAATACATTCATCTCAGGGACAATTTTAGTTTCTGAAATTGGACAGGGTTTTCCTTCCTTTTTTTCCCCACCTCATGCCCCACAGTTCTGCTACGCAGATACATACTTCACAGTCTAGTACAATCAATGCTTGTAATGGATTTTTCCAAAAGGTGCTCGTATGCCTGTCCCACTTCATTTATTCGGTTGTTCTCAGCACCACTTAAAACACCTTCACTTCTCACTGTGTATTTTGTTTCTTTAATGCAGCCAAGAGGAATGGACCTCGATATTGCCTTTAAGCAATAAACAACACACAAAACAAATAAATACTTTAAAATCCTTTTAAATGGTAATGACGTACATACTCTGTTCCAGTGCAGAACTTGGTTATCTACTAGGTAAAAAGCACTCCAAGGATAGCTCTTCAGCAGCAGACTAGGAGCCTCACTCACCTGCTTGCACCACTCTCCTCGCATTACTCGAGTAATGGGGGGGGGGGGGGGGGGGAGGGCAAAGACCGGGGGAGGGGGGGGGGGGGGGGGGGAAATGAGCAACAGCCTAAGAGGAATTCCTCTCTTCCATGCTCAGAGAATTGCCAGTGTCCAATATTAAGCAATTCACATTCTCTAGCGCAAAGAAAGCAAAAAGAGGTTGTATAAACACTTCCTTCTCCCTCTCTGAAAAGCATGCCCAGCTCTGAAATAGTTCAGACAGCTCTGGGAAACACCAACCAACAAGAAACAAGAGCCAGGAGCTAGACGCAGGGCTTACAGGTTTTAATGCCCTATTAAAAGAAGCCCTTCTGGGGCTCCCTACAGACCTTTCAACCTCAGAGGAAAGCGGTTTCACCAGAAAGTCCCTCCTTACTACACCTCTCAGCCTCACAGCCACCCCAGCCTGCGTATGCCAGCATGCCGACACACCAGGGGGGTTTATACATGGGTCTTTAGAAAACCGGTACAAGTGAAAAAAGCCTGAACGCTGAACCTGATCCAGAACCCCATCAAAGGGCTGGTGAGAGTTTTACTCACCAGGGGCAGGTGAATACTTGGGTACTGGGGGATTTTATTTAAAGAAAGGTTCAGCCAAGTCTTACAGCCCTATAAAGCCATTTAAGCTGAAAACAAGGTCTGGATTCAGAAACTGAATGCTTCTTCCTCATTATTTTGAAACATTTTGCAACAGTGATTCGAAAGTGTAAGAATGCTTTAAAAGTTTGTATTTTTGATGTCAAAAGGAAGACAAGCTCACGGCTATGTTGAGCCTTCCTTTCCTAAAGGGGACTGCAAATTTTGGTGAAAGGAAACTCATGGGGAAAATGTTTTGCGTTTCCTACAGAGAACAAAACTGTGCTAAAGCTATGGAAACTTTCACAGAAAATGACCCAATGTAGCACCATACTCCACAAGAGCATCCCAAAATGCTTTACAATACAACAGAAGAAGTACACTTACATGAACGTTATATACCTGTCCAAGGTATATTTTCTGATGCCACGTAGTGGGGGTTTTTTTTTCCCATTAAGAAATTATGTCCCAGTTAGAATAAAGCAAACCCTTTCTCTTAACTGTTCTTTTCAACGTGTTCTATATATACAACCCTTAAAATACACTTAAAAATAGCTGCACACATTTTGTATCATTATACTGGAGAAGGGCAGTCCAGACAGACCATGCTTCTCAGTGTGTTAAAAATTGTAAATAAAACCCAACCAGACTCGCTCTCCTCCGGTACCCACATTGGTCCAAAGGAGGGAAGGGAAGGAACAAGCAGTTTTAAAATGGGAGTCTTTCACAAAACACGCTACTTACAAATCTCAGGTTAATTTCCTCAAGCAGTTTTGTATCAAATCCTTTCTTAAATATTTGAGGTCACCCACTGCCATCTTAACAATGAAATCTGTTGCAACATGCATGTGTCAGCTTCCCACTCAACCAACTGCAACCCTGAGGATTTTTCTGGCCTGGTAGAAAGAGGAAATGTAACACAATTCCTGAAGTATGGCTGGTCCTCCATTTCAAAACTCTGTGTGATTCCCTCGATGGTTCTTGGACACACACCCACACTTTTTTGTTTTTCCTCTAATACACGTTTCCCTCTAACCAACATGCAGATTTCTCCTCCCAGTCATCCACATCTCGATGTCCCAACGAAACAATCCATGTCATCCATCCAGAGGTTTTCCCAGGTAGACCAAAGTCACTTCTGTGTTACCATACACAGCAGACACTGCTGGATACAGGCAAACTTTTGGCAGTCCTCTGAAGGCAACTCCCAAGAACTCATAGCCCCTCTCAAATGCTAATGTTTTGTCTTCCATGTCCAGGATAACTCGAATCCTTTCACCTATCTGGAAACAGAGACAGGAGGGGGGAATAAATAAAAAAAATACATCATAGAAAGAGTCAGCATATTCAAATGGAGACACAAAAATAAAGCATAGCCCATGTATAACGCAGTAGGTAATTTTGAAGCAAGGCTTTCCTGTTTCTCACAATTGCATTACTTTTATGATGGGAATTTCTCCATTTCGCTCAAATGCACTAGGATCCCAAGTACCTCTGCTGCCTGTTTCCAGTGGGCAGCCTGTATCTAGCCACTTACATGATAATAAACGTAACCCTTCTCATATGAACCTTGTAAGAGCACCAAGAGTGAGCATACTACATGCCACGTGCTTCAGAATACTGCAGAGTTTTGGAAACTTTGTAATGGCCTCCAAGTTACCTGAACTCTGTGTTTAGCTGTTGCTATCACTGAGCAGTAATTGCTCTGTGAAGAGCAATTTTAAAGACAATGAACTTGTTTTAGAAAGGTAAGTGCCACATATAAAATATACCAGAATACACTACTATGCAGGTGCTGCCACTGACAGAGGTATTCCCTCACCAAGGCAGAAGGAAATTCCACAGCAAAGCTTAGGCAAAATAAGCATGAAAAACCTAATATATATATATACACACACACACACGAGTGAAACCAACACTGAACACAGCAAGAGACTCAGGCATGCACCGTGCTCCCTGCATTTTATCTAGTACACATTATTTTAGACATAAATAGAAGTCCCAGACACCAGCAGCAAGCACAGCAGGACGCCACACAAACTTCTGATTCTTCACCAGCCAGCCCCAATGCTGGGGATTTCTTCCAGCCAACACATTTTTCTTCTAACCAACACTAACACACACGTGTTTCCTTGAAGTATATTTTCTATGAGTAGATCACTGTACACATCTTACTAAGCACAAAATACTCCAAAGGATCACCGATTGGAGCCCTCAACAGTTTTTACAGAGAAAGCAGCGACTGCATTCACCCTTGAGTCCCCACAGGAGCTGGGGACTCTCAGCTTCAAAGCCTTTCCTCACCCTGTTGCTGCAGAAAGGCCTAGACAAGGTCAGAAGAAAGCGACCACAAAGGGTAGAGTCTGGAAAGTGCTGAACCAATTTGCACACTAGGGAACATGCAAATGGAAAGAGATCTAAATGTCTGTAATTACACTACTTTTAGGTATTACTCCCAAAAACAGCAGGTGTAACCTTCAGACAGAATTAAGTGCTTGGTGGTGAACTTTTACATAAAATTTAGGAATATCAGATACAAGTTACTACGCAGATCTTCGCCCACAACTGAAACATAAGCCAATACACGTACAAAGCCACAGCATTATGAGATGGAAATTATAATGCATGCAACTGAAGTCGTAACATAAGGAAATCCAGCAGTCAAAAGGTAGTTGTGTGAGCAGCCAGAAGAACAAAGATATAGGGACAAAAAGGTGGAATGGCACTTGCTCTTTAATAACCTGAAAGTATTTGAACATCACGTCCCAGCATCCCAGCTAAGGGATGTCACCTATGGGAATGGTGCCAGCGAGCAAACAAGCAGCACTCAGCACTGTTGCAGGTTTTTGCAGGAAGACTCTTACCTAAGCACTAACCTCAGCTCGCACTGCCATACAACCAAAGGGTAAAATACCACAGACGTTGACCTTGCTGTGGGGCAAGTCGTTACTTCAGAAGACTACAACAGCTTTTATTTCAAAAAGCAACATACTGTCTAAACAGACACCCATGGAACATGCTTCGCATTCAGTATTTGAAATAAAACTGGGGAAATAACTGGGGGTCAGGTGCATTGAACACTACATACAGGTGTAGCCTGAGGAAGCAGTAAACGAAGGGGGGAAAGGCTCACAAGGCAGAATCATTTCTTTCTGCAGGGAAGGCAGAAAGAGACCCTTAGGTGGGCATTTAGGACCAATTCAGTAGACAGCCAGAACACGCGAGGGAAGAGGTTCTTGACAGCCAGCCATCAGACACGGTGGAACTTCCAGCCCACACCAAGCCCCGCTCACCTGGTATTTGGGCGCGTTATTGCACTGGGGGAAACTGCCGTTCACCTCTCCATTATGCAGCAAGTTATTGTCCACCAGGTTCCAGCCCCAACTCTGGTCATCGCTCCCCAGCAGGGCCACATAACCCTGGCACTGCATGGCCGCCCGCTTCGTGGCGATGCCGATGACGGCCACAGTGCCCAGCGGGCCCTCCCACCACACCTCCCAGGCGTGGCGGCCCTCGCTGAAGCCTATCTTGGTCCGTGCCCCGTCTGTGCTCTGGGCAATGGGGTTGCGGTGCAGCGTGAAGCCGTTCTTCTTGATGTAGACATTCCGTGAGCAATCGTTGGTGCTGAAGGCGTGGTGGAAGGCACGGACCTAGGGGAGGAGGAGGGTGGGGGGAGATAAAATCCTGTCATGTTGTTCAGGCCCCCCCCCTTGGTTTCCAATGGTGGGTGGGCCAAGCGGCTAGGCGGGTGTCCCCAAGCACCTGGGGGGGCTGCTGAGAAGCTGGGGAGGGGTATTCCCGAGGGGCTAGGGGGGGTCCCGGACTCACCTTGCCCTTGTAGGTGGGCACGTTGCAGAGGATGTCAGTGCGCAGGGCCTCCTCCGCCAGGCAGCGGGCCGCCAAGCTGCGCCACACCTCGCTGTTCTCGTCGCCGTGCAGGACGCGGTGCCACAGCTTACAGACCAGCGCGCAGCTCCTCAGCTCCCGCAGCTCCAGGTAGGAGAAGACCAGCTCCAGCACCCGTCCCGGCAACCGCC